CCACCACCACCACCACCACCATCATCATCACCACCATCACCCCACCAGAAAGCAACACTCACACACCTCATGCACCCAACTGCCACCTCCCACGCAAGTGGGAAGTCCGCATCTCGACTCGGTCCCCATGCGGCTTCAGCTACACGGCTGACTTGAGTCCGAGACTATCGCGACACGTCAAGCGTCGTGGATAGGAAGGTTGCTGATTGACGCCCGCTCTTGGTTCACGCAGTTCGTCGCGTTGTGTGTGTGTGTGTGTGTTGTGTGGAGTGGCGGACTGGTGGGCTGGGGACGGGCTGAAACAGCACCTTCCACGGCACTCTCACGCAAGTGAGAGACACGCCGTTCAACCCCCGTTGCGTGAAATCCTGGTGTTGCGTGTGTGGGGGGCCAGGTCGTGCCGTGGCGCGCGCAGTCATGGTCAGTCAACCATGACAGCCACCGCGCCCATTCCCCACTCCAGTCTGCTGACCGGCTCGGACAGCGGCTGGGGTGTGGGAGTGGGAAGGGAGAGTGAGGTCGACGACTCAGCGCACTTTCTCCTCACTATAAACAATCTGTCGCGCTTGAAGCTATCACGGTGCGCTAAAAGCCGTGGCTTGGAAGGTTGACATCTGACGGGGTACCTTGGACCTCCTCCTTGACTGGAGGCGGGCTGAGAGTCAGGCTGCAATGGCTCCTTTTTAATGTGGCCTTTATGGCACTCCCTTCACAGTGAGGGATCCGAGTCAGGCGTTGGCGGCACGCCTAGGTGCGGCTTCGGTCGTGCCAGCCTCCAAATCTTCGTTGTGTTGGTTGAAATCCTGGTTATTTGTTCTGTGGACCAGGGGGTGTGGTGGAACGCCAAGGTGAGGATCCGTCCGAGACATCCACCTGCGGCCTCCCTCGTCTCCGGTCTTCTTGACTCTGTCTTGACACCGGGCTCGGGCGAGGGAGGAGGAGAGAGTGTAGGTAGATGCTACGCAAGTCTACCGGCACTATAAACCCCTGCGTAAGTCACCGTCCCTGCTCCCATTGCTGCTGCAACTGTGGGCACACGGTGGACATCATCGAAACCGATGGTCGAACTGTCATGATGCTATCGCAATGTAGCATTGTTATTTTTCTTTACACTGCAACATTTCGCGCTAATCCTGTAAACTGTAGTGATGTTGTTCGTATATTCATCCATCTACCTCGAGACCAGCTGTTAGTGTGGAATCGCGTGTTGTTAGAGCAAATTAAACAAAGTGCTCTTACTACTAGAAAACTGCGAGTGAGTTCCACATTTAAAGGAAGTATACTGTCTACTATGCATTTAACCTGTCTGGTAGGGAATTTGACGGGAAAGCCTGGATTTGGAATATCGGAATCTACCGGTACGCTTGTATTAGAACCTCAGGCCTATCCGATTTGTAATTGCTAACCAAACTAGTGTCTCGTGAAGATGAGGTACGTGTCGAAATCAGTAAAACGTCCTAATGCGCGATTTCCACCGGTTCACGCTCGTAAATTAATTGGGACATCCAGCCCTGCAATCATTTGTTTTTAAACCTGTACTGCTAACTTAGGAAAATTTTCATCTGAAAAATAGTTTTAGATAACCATGATTGTTAACAGAAAACAGTATTAGCGGAAACCTGTTGACATAAATTAAGTTTTTAGGGATTTAGTTAATAATGAAATTTGACTTAAAAAGTAGAAGACCCGGTCGCTGAAATAGGAGCCCCACTCTCCGGATATAGGGGATTCAGTCTCATACCCACCACCAAACGCAAAACAAAGTAAAGTAATCAAGGCAAGAATTTGCAGCAGTTACAGGGGGCAGTTGATACATAAGCACATGAGTATCAAAATTTGCAGTTCGTGCTTAGTGTGAGAATAGTTTGTCTGCCGACATACGATTCGCCTATGAGGGCTATTTTATCCTAGGTGTTTGTTATAGACTTGACGATTACTCGACGACTGGGCTAACAAGTACTGTTACCAGAAGTAGTATCCAAAGTGCAGCTTCCAGTGTGACTAAATTTTCTGTCCTTAAATAGTCTAAGTGTTGCTGCTGGATTCGTGTAAGTAAA